TCTCTCTGAGTCGTCCTCTCTCTGAGTCGCCCTCTCTCTCTGAGTCGCCCTCTCTGAGTCGTCCTCTCTCTCTGAGTCGTCCTCTCTCTCTCTGAGTCGCCCTCTCTCTCTCTCTGAGTCGCCCTCTCTGAGTCGTCCTCTCTCTCTGAGTCGTCCTCTCTCCTAGTCGTCCTCTCTCTCTGAATCGCCACCACTATAATGATGATGATGATCGTTGTAATATGATTATTCAGTAATGTGCAATCCCCTATTGAGTCATTGGCGAGTGCTGTGTCGTTTCGCGCAAATGCGCCGGGTTTCATGGCCATCCTACTCGACGTTGGGCGAACGTTGAGCCAACGTTGGCAAGCGGTTGGACCAACATTGGCAAGTGGTTGGACCAACGTTGGTTGAACGTTGAGCCAACGTTGGCAAATGATAGCTCGGTGAAGTTGGCTGATACCACCATCGTCGTCGTCGTCGTCATCGTCGTGTGTAAATGTCGAGCAGCAGACGCAGTCCGCTCTAAGACGCGGTGATGTCGATTCTAAATGCGGAGGACCCGGAGACAATCAAACATCCACGCGACCGCGGGGAGAGAGAGAGACACGCAAACTCCACATGCAGCAGCAGCAGGCGTCAGGGATAGAACCCACGACCTCCTGTAGACCAGGCGAGGGAGTTAACATCTCTACAGGGAGAGACACAAACTCCACATGCAGCAGCAGCAGGCGTCAGGGTCGGGATGGAACCCACGACCCCCTGTAGAGCAGGCGAGGTTGTTAACATCTCTACAGAGAGAGACACAAACTCCACATATACAGCAGCAGCAGGCGTCGTCAGGGATAGAACCCACGACCTCCTGTAGAGCAGGCGAGGTTGTTAACATCTCTACAGGGAGAGACACAAACTCCACATGCAGCAGCAGCAGGCGTCAGGGATAGAACCCACGACCTCCTGTAGACCAGGCGAGGTAGTTAACATCTCTACAGGGAGAGACACAAACTCCACATGCAGCAGCAGCAGGCGTCAGGGTCGGGATGGAACCCACGACCTCCTGTAGACCAGGCGAGGTTGTTAACATCTCTACAGAGAGAGACACAAACTCCACATACACAGCAGCAGGCGTCAGGGTCGGGATGGAACCCACGACCTCCTGTAGACCAGGCGAGGTTGTTAACATCTCCCCGCCACCGCGGCGCTCGAGGTCCATTTGGCAGCTGCGGCAGCGGCGCGGTTCGAACCGCAACTGCAGCAGCACTCAGCCGCGACTCGTCACGTGACGACTCGGCAGGTCACGGCCCCGCCCCTCCCCCAGTCCAAGCCCCGCCCATCTACAACAAGCCCCGCCCTCGCCGTCAAGCCAATCAAGTCCCGCCCTCTCACAATCAAGCCCCGCCCTCGCCATCAAGCCAATCAAGCCCGCCTTCTCACAATCAAGCCCCGCCCCTCAATATTAAGCCCCGCCTCCTGACAATCAAGCCCCGCCCCTCAATATGAAGCTCTCGCTATCAGGACCCGCCCCTCACCATTAAACCCCGTCTCTCGTATGTCAAGCCCCCCCCCACCCTCCCCCCCACCTCACTCCCCCCCACCCTCCCCCCACCTCACTCCCCCCCCACCCTCCTCCCCCCCCACCTCACTCCCCTCTCCCCCATTCCTTTATCCCCCATCCTCAGCCCCCCCCCCCCGTGCCCCCCCCGTGTCCCCGGCCGCACGATTTCGCCTCTCACACTCACGGGGCGATGGCTCTGCACCGGCTGCTGTTCGCGGGCCGCAGATCGCGTCTCTTCGGCAGCAAGGACAGCTGGTGGGGCCGGTCTGTCTACACCACGTGTCTCTCTACACCACCACGTGTCTCTCTGTCTAGAGCACGTGTCTCTCTGTCTAGAGCACGTGTCTCTCTGTCTAGAGCACGTGTCTCTCTGTCTAGAGCACGTGTCCTCTCTGTCTAGAACACGTGTCTCTCTGTCTAGAGCACGTGTCTCTCTGTCTAGAGCACGTGTCTATGTCTACACCACCACGTGTCTCTCTGTCTACACCACGTGTCTCTCTACACCACCACGTGTCTCTGTCTAGAGCACGTGTCTCTCTGTCTACACCACGTGTCTCTCTACACCACCACGTGTCTCTGTCTAGAGCACGTGTCTCTCTGTCTAGAGCACGTGTCTCTCTGTCTAGAGCACGTGTCTCTGTCTAGAGCACGTGTCTCTCTGTCTAGAGCACGTGTCTATGTCTACACCACCACGTGTCTCTCTGTCTACACCACGTGTCTCTCTACACCACCACGTGTCTCTCTGTCTAGAGCACGTGTCTCTCTGTCTAGAGCACGTGTCTCTCTGTCTAGAGCACGTGTCTCTCTGTCTAGAGCACGTGTCTCTCTGTCTACACCACGTGTCTCTCTGTCTACACCACGTGTCTCTGTCTACACCACCACGTGTCTCTCTCTCTGTCTATACCACGTGTCTCTGTCTAGAGCACGTGTCTCTGTCTACACCACCACGTCTCTCTACACCACGTGTCTCTGTCTAGAGCACGGTCTCTGTCTAGAGCACGTGTCTCTGTCTACAGCACGTGTCTCTCTGTCTAGACCACCACGTGTCTCTCTGTCTAGAGCACCACGTGTCTCTCTACACCACGTGTCTCTGTCTAGAGCACGTGTCTCTCTACACCACCACCAGTGTGTCTGCGCGTGTCGTCTAAGCCATATGTCTCTATGCGGCGTGTCATACCATATGTCTGCACCACGTGCCTGCCGATATCACCTTCATGTTGTATGAAGGAAGGGTCGTTGTCCGAAACGTCGCCTATTATATACACGCTCCTATTTTACCTTCAAGACCACGGTGTCGTAATTGAGACGGATCGTGATCGGTGTTGTTGACTGTGTTTCTGCACCAGTGGCCAATGCAGCAGCAGCAGCACCAGATACATCACCCACTCTCTCTCTCTCTTAGCATGCGTCTCTCTCTCTCTGGGGATATGCGTCTATGGCACTCCATCTACGTCTGTGGCGTGTGTGACTGTAGTGTGTGTGGGGTGTGTGTCTGTAGTGTGTGTCGTGTGTAGTGTGTGTCGTGTGTGTGTGTCTGTGGTGTGTGTGTGTGTCTGTGGTGTGTGTCTGTGTGTCTGTGGCGTGTGTGTGTGTAGTGTCTGTAGTGTGTGTGTCTGTGTGTCTGTAGTGTGTGTGTCTGTGGTGTGTGTCTGTGGTGTGTGTCTAGTGTGTGTCTGTAGGGTGTGTGTCTAGTGTGTGTCTGTAGTGTGTGTGTCTGTAGTGTGTCTAGTGTGTGTAGTGTGTGTCTGTAGTGTGTCTTTAGTGTGTGTCTGTGGTGTGTGTGTAGTGTGTCTGTGGTGTGTGTGTCTATCTGTAGTGTATGTGTAGTGTGGTGTGTGTGTGTGGTGTGTGTGTGTAGTGTCTGTAGTGTGTGTCTGTAGTGTGGAGTGTGGGTGGTGAGTGTGGTGGGGTTGGTGAGTGTGGTGTGGTGGGGAGTGTGGTGGTGAGTGTGGTGGGGGTGGTGAGTGTGGTGGGGGTGGTGAGTGTGGGTGGGTTGGGTGGTGAGTGTGGTGTGGGTGGTGTGGGTGGTGTGGTGGTGAGTGTGGTGTGGGTGGTGAGTGTGGTGTGGGTGGTGAGTGTGGTGTGGGTGGTGAGTGTGGTGTGGGTGGTGAGTGTGGGTGGGTTGGGTGGTGAGTGTGGTGTGGGTGGTGAGTGTGGGTGGGTTGGGTGGTGAGTGTGGTGTGGGTGGTGTGGGTGGTGTGGGTGGTGTGGGTGGTGAGGGTGGTGAGGGTGGGTGGTGAGGGTGGTGAGGGTGGTGAGTGTGGGTGGTGTGGGTGGTGAGTGTGGTGTGGGTGGTGAGTGTGGGTGGTGAGTGTGGTGTGGGTGGGGAGTGTGGGTGGGGAGTGTGGGTGGGGAGTGTGGGTGGGGAGTGTGGTGAGTGTGGTGGGGTTGGTGAGCGAGTGTTGGGCGAGCATCGGGTGAGTGGCAAGAGTCGGACCACGTGACGTCACCACCCCCCCACGATCACCCCTCCCCTCTCCCCCACGATCACCCCCCCCCCCCCCCCGTTCATTAATGAGCTCTCGGGCAGCTGAGAGATGGGACACGTGGGTGCGATGGCACACGGTGATGGTGATGACGCTCCGGTGATGGTGGTGGTGATGGTACCAGGGTGATGATGGTGGTGATGGTGGTGATGGTGGTGGTGATGGTACCAGGGTGATGATGGTGGTGATGGTGGTGATGGTGGTGGTGATGGCATCACGGTGATGGTGATGACGCCCCGGTGATGGCGAGACGGTGATGGTACCACGGTGATGGTGGTGATGGTACCACGGTGATTGTGGTGGTGGTGATGGTGGTGGTGATGGTGGTGGTGATGGTGGTGATGGTACCGTGGTGATGGTACCCACGGTGATGGTGGTGATGGTGGTGATGGTACCACGGTGATGGTGGTGATGGTGGTGATGGTACCACGGTGATGGTGGTGATGGTGGTGATGGTACCACGGTGATGGTGGTGATGGTGGTGATGGTACCACGGTGATGGTGGTGATGACCCCACGGTGATGGTATCACGGTGATGGTGGTGATGGTGGTGATGGCACCACGGTGGTGATGACGCCACGGTGATGGTGGTGATGACCCCATGGTGATGGTGGTGATGGTGGTGATGGTGGTGATGACCCGATGGTGATGGTGGTGATGGTGATGGTGGTGATGGTGATGATGGTGATGGTGGTGATGGTGATGATGGTGATGGTGGTGATGGTGATGATGGTGATGGTGGTGATGACCCGATGGTGATGGTGGTGATGGTGATGGTGGTGATGGTGGTGATGGTGGTGATGGTGATGATGGTGGTGATGGTGATGATGGTGGTGATGGTGGTGATGGTGATTGTGATAGTGATGATGGTGATGGTGTTGGTGATGGTGATGGTGGTGATGGTGATGGTGGTGATGGTGATGGTGGTGATGATGGTGATGGTGGTGATGGTGATGGTGGTGATGGTGGTGGTGATGATGGTGATGGTGATGATGGTGATGGTGGTGATGGTGATGGTGGTGGTGATGGTGATGGTGGTGATGGTGATGATGGTGATGATGTTGATGGTGGTGATGGTGGTGATGGTGGTGGTGATGATGGTGATGGTGGTGATGATGGTGATGGTGGTGATGGTGTGATGATGGTGATGGTGGTGGTGGTGATGGTGGTGGTGATGATGGTGATGGTGGTGATGGTGGTGATGGTGGTGATGGTGATGGTGATGATGGTGATGGTGGTGATGGTGATGGTGGTGATGGTGATGATGACCCCACGGTGATGACGTGGCGCCTTTGAACCCCGCTCGGGGCCACGCCTGGCTGGGTTCGACTCCCCCGTGCACCGCGGTTCGCGTCAGTGGCGGGCGACGTCTCAACCGGTCCTGGGGGGGGGGGGGGGGGGAGGGAGCCCCCCCACCCCCCCAGCCCCCCCCCCACCACAGCCTGCAGTCACCGGCGTGGTGAAGTATGGTCAAACGGCCCCCTTAGAACCGACAGAGCTTGGTGGGGAGGAGGAGGAGGGGGGTGATACCATCATCAAGCAGTGCATTGACCATGGCTGCTGCCGCTGCTGATAATAAGCAATAGGCGACGTTTCGGGCAAAGGTCCTTGCCCGTGCCCGTCTCGTTGGGGAGCTCTGAACCGTCGAACAAAGGCGGCGCCGCGGGGACGTCTGGAACGCTCCTTCCCTTGATTCGACGATTCGGAAGGTCACGCGGCAGATACGAATGGGACAACATTTCTGTTTGCTGCTGCTGCTCCTGTTGTTGTTGTCGGTATCAAAGTTCAAAAACAATGCTGGAGCCCTTGGCAAAACAAGGTATCGATTTGTTGTCTGGACACGTTGAACACAACTCCCACAAACCTCTCCTGTGGATAATGTTGGATCGCGAAAGCCGCCTCCACTGCGTGTTGAACTGAGCGTGTTTGTCTTTGTGTAACGGGTTCCGGAGACACTTGTAGATGTAACTTCTTTATTACAATACAACACTCCAACAGTCCTGATACTCTGTTACAGCCTAGGTACACAGCCTAGCTACACAGCCTAGATACTCTACTCTGGCTACGCTCTGGACTCGCCCTCACAAGGTCGTAGCGTCGGGAGTTCCAGAGTCCCAGCGCTGGCTCTCACAGCATCCCAGGGTCTTCAGATGGCTGGTCGTGGGTCTTGGGTCTTGAGTTACAACTGGGCCCGATCGTCCAGGGAGCTCCGCTTATATGCCCAGTCCCCAACGAGGGGTGGGGCCGTGTGCGCCACCAGACATCCCACAGAGCACACACAGCCCCCCCCGTTGGCGGCGCCCAGAGGCTTAAGCGTCTGGACCTCCTGGGAACCCAGCGCCTGGCGCCTAGGGGATTACGCGTCTGGACCCACCTGGGAACCCAGAGCCTACAGCAGCCCCTCCCTTCTTATGTCACTACATTACCCTCCTCTATGTAGCCTCCAGCCGTCCCGGCTGTCAATAATTAGAAAGTTTAAATTAACGAAAGGGAGAGAGAGAAGAAAAAAAAATACGCGAGCTTCAACAGGAAAAGAAAAGAGAACAAGAAAGCAACCATAAATACCCTAACCAACCTGTACAACTCTACACTATATACAAGCATCAATCAACAAAAAAGTGAAGCAATGACACGTGAACAAACGACCCGCGGCACACCTAGCCCTCCTCGGGATCCGCATAGAAAACGGGGAATTAACAACAACAAATATACAGATTCCGACGCGTTGGATGCACAACCAACACCGGTAATCGAACCGAAATCACATAATCACCGCAT